GTGGCTATACTTAGCTTACTCCATATTTTATTTTATTATATTTGGTTGTATTCTAATTTCCATATGTTTTTTTTCACAAAATAGGAAATGAAAGTAATAACAAAACATAATATGTCATCCCATTTATATGGGAGTAATAATCATAAAATATAGAAATAGATGTAGCAACAAAATATGCTATGTCATTTTTTATATCATATAGTATACTCCATATTTTATTTTATATTTGGTTGTATTCTATATTTTTTTTCACAAAATAGAAAATGAAAGTAATAGCAAAACACTATATGTCATCCCATTTATATGGGAGTAATAATCATAAAATAGAAATGGAAGTAACAACAAAATATGCTATGTCATTTTTTATATTATATTGTATACTCAATTCCATAGTGTTCCTACATGAGGCAAAAAACTTTTTTATATATAGAAAAAATATAGTGAGTGCGTGGTAGGGTGTACATAATTAATTAGTTAATTTTTTCAATCTATAATATCTTTTTACATTATTTAAAATTACTTTTGACATACTATTTTTTGTATTTTAGTTACAAACTTTAAGAAAATAAATAATAAACTTATTTATTTTTCAAGAAAAATTTTTTTAAAAAGAAACAATTTTCATTGAAAGCTCGAATATCTTAATAACTAATAACACGCTAGGATTATGTAAAGAATACATTGAATCAAAATAATAAATAATTTAAAAGATATTAATGAGTATATAGTAAGAAAAAAAATGGAGTTGTTTAACCTCAAAATTAGAATAAGCCATATAAATTAAAACGAACAAAATCAAAATAATACATCCTTTCCTTTTTATTTTAGATGAGATAAAATGATATTTTATTAGATGAGATAAAAAGATGATAAAATGATAGTGAAAAAGATATCTTGACTTTATGTGAATAACACAAAAATACAATTAACTAAATGACATGTGGCAAAGTGAGAAGTTGAAAACACAACAAAATAAAACGTCATCAAATACGAATCATTGAAAAGAAATCAACGTGGCTATTTAGACCTACCAAATTAATATATATTGTCAATCTTAATCTAAAAACAAAATAGCACAATCAATATACACTATGATTTAATTTATTAGTCACACGTGAATTAGCCGTGAATTCAGAATTTTTATTTAGGAGGTACGAAAATTTTTTTAAAATGGGCTTTTTAAATTTTTTTGAATTTAAAATTACATTTTGACACGTTTTTAAAATAAAAAATACTTAAAAAACAGAACTGATTTTTTTAAATAAAAATAAATTGAAACTATAAGGGAAAATAAATAAATGTATGGCAGGAATTCGAACCTGAAGCATGCGGTTTAATATTTAGGGGTCTTATCATTAAGCTATCTATTTTTATTTGTTATTGAGAGAGTTCGAAATATATGTATCTATAAAAATATAAAAAATTACTTTATATATATCGTATATTTTTTTTCCTGAAGATATTCAAATGAACACCCCGAAACCAACGTGAATACGTCCCTGACGTGAACTATATTATAAAAGGTATTTAATCAAAGAACAGTTTTATTAGCTTTCACCTTACTTTTTTTGGGGTGGTAGTGTACCTAAATTATTGGGAAGAGAATATATATATATATATATATATATATATATATATATATATATATATATATATATATATATATTAAAAAAGAGGAAAATACCAATTAATGTTATCAAAATTCAAAACTCATTTGTTTACTTCTTAATCAACCAAAAAGTGGTTGATTTTTTACTATTATTTATTTAAAATAATTGAGGTTAAGGAAGGAAGAAAATAGGCAAGAATATCACAAGGTAAGATATCAAATGTTCGTTAAATAATAGAACTATCAAACTATATTTTATTTTTAAAAATATAATCGGTAAGTCGAGTAAAAACATTATATTTATTCAGTATTTACTTTAAATCGATCAATTTGATATTAAAAAGGTAAAATTTAATATATAAAATATTTTACACTCATACGATAATCAAAAATTCATTTCAAAGTAATGTAACACAAATAATTTGTTTTGATTCAAAGTATTATTGATTAATTATATAATTAGAACAGATGATCTACAGACTACGTGTGAAACTTTTTTTAACGAAGTGAAATATTAAAAACTGACACGTAGACTATCGACAAAGTAAGAGGCAAAGGTACGCAATAAAAAAAATATTTCTGTTAATCCAAAAATATTTAAAAGAAAATTAGATCTAATTTCGTTAAGTAAATCCAAAAAATGAACTTCCCATAATATTAAACTAAAAATAGTTATAGTTAGGGGTGTTTGTAGTTCGGTTTGAATTGTTATTGATTAAAATTAAAATCAAATTAATTTAGTCGATTTTTTAAATTTCTAAAATCAAACGAAAAAATAACCAACGGTTTGGTTATTGTCGATTTGGTTTTGGTTCAATTTTTATGGTATATTCGATTTGAAAATAATAATTTTTTTGAGTATGTATGTATCTTGACAGACACAAACACCACATGAGCAACCTACAAAAAAGTTAATGTCGGTTCAATTAAGCAATTAAGTAATAATAGAGTATGTGATTATTTTATGTAAAGTACGGTAGTATGTAAATACTAAAATTGATTTTGATAGACTTGTAATTGAAATTATTATACTTGGGCTGAAGTGTTGGGCTTGAGAAAATGATAAAGTTAAAAACTTACGTTAATTAAAATTTAACAAAATATTTTTAATTTAATTTATGAATAATATATAAATAATTATAAAATCTATGTATCTAATTTATCGATTTGATTTAATTATTTTTGCGATTGTTTTTCAGTAAAATTAAAACTAAACCAAATAGAATCGATTTTTAAAATTTAAAAATTAAATCTAATCAAACTATACTAAATATCAATTTTTTTAATCAATTTTAATTTAAAATAAGATTTATTTTAGTTATTAACTATAACCATGAACGCCCTAGTTATAGTAACAATTATTAAAGATCTATATGTATGCACGAATAACTAAATAGTGCAATATAAGTATAACTTTTTCATCAATTTCACTAACACCAAAATTAGAAAAAGATGCACAAAAGACAAATATTTTTTATTTTTACTTTTTTAGAAAAAAGAAGAATAAAAATGATAAAAGAATTACCAAAAACGTTTTTTAAAATAAAAATAAAAATGCATACGTGTCGTCCATAGATGACATATTTATAAGATTTTTCTTTTGTAGTCCCTTTCACATCCCAAATTATTATTATTTTATTATATAAAAAAAAATACCACTTAATTCCAAAAAACAGCTAAGTCCTTTTTTCTGTCCACGTATTTTCACGTGTCCCACACTCTATGAATCCTTAAAAATATTTACCAATATCTAACAAAATATTTACATCGATCGATTAACAAAGTAATAAAAATAATATTATATTAATAATCTAATGTAATTATTATTATTAAAAATAATTATAATGTAATAATAAAACTGTTTCATTCTTAATAAAATTGTCTTAAATTTTAGCTCTACTTTAATCATGATATAAGTAAAAATATTATCAATTTATCATAATAATTATCTCAAGCTAAAATGATTGACAATGAATAAAAAAAAAGAAGAGAATATTACATGAAGTTGGACGAATGGATCATTCAATTGTCACATGTTAAAATTTCTTGTGATAATGTAATAAAATTTCATAATCAAAATTCAAACAGCCTTTAACTCTCTCTCTTCTTCAAAAAATAAATAAATTAATACTGATCACTTAGTTTTGGTAGCGAATTGAAGTGAAACTGTAAAAAATATATGTTAACAATAAGATTCGAACCTTGGTACAACAACACTAAAAAACTCTCTTAAATATTTATCCTAGAATTATTGGGTCAACTGTATGATTTATTCATTGGATGCTCTATGTTAATTTTATACAAATATCTATCGATTTCTATATATATATATATTTTTCGTAACAAAGTTAATGGGTGCTCGAGCACTCGGCGGACACCATGCGGGTCCGCACCTGCTTCGTTTTAATTTATTTATAATAATTTACAACATAAAATTTAATTCAAAAATATAAAAAAATATAATATTTTAATCTGATAATTTTTAAATATTTATATAAAAACAAAATACACCCTCCTTTTAGAAAAAGATCCAGTTTAATTTGGAAAGGAGTTAAAAAATAAAGAAGGCTTTTTAATTTTGTAGTTAAATTAAAATAATGTCAAGTGTATCGATTTTCTTTAATCTTATTTATTCGACATATTTTATAGTAAATAACAATTCAACAATAAAATGTTTATTTTATCCTTAACAAATATTCTATCCGTCCCTATTTAGTTATCTACTTTAGAAATAATACACATATTAAGATAATAATAATTAGCATATTTACTCTTATTAATTATGATTTTAAAAAAATGAATTAAAACTTGAATTTTTTCTTAATGAGGGTATAATAGAAACAAGTATTTATTCTTTCTTGATTTGTCAAAATGAACAAGTAAATATGAATAGCTAAAAAATGAAATATTAACAAATAAATAAGGAGAAGAAAAAGTATTTGCATTTATTTTAAACCACGAATTGATAATTTTTTAAACTAACTCATATAAACAGAAACGAAATCGAGTAATATTACTTTTAATCTAAGATAAAAAAGTGGGCGGAAAAACAAAAAAGATTCAATCTTCTAGAAGTTACAGGAGAGAGTGCCACGTAATAGGGGACCTCAAAGACTTTTTAAAATTATATTTTTGGAACTTTATTTTATTTAGATTCATGTATTTGGTCCAAAACTTTACTGCTCGATAAGGTCGGCTATTAAAATGCCTAACTTTTTAATACGTGTCAAATTTTAGAACCATCAAGATTTTAAGAAAATGACAATAATACTTATCTCTTTTTCCAATTTCGTCCATATATAAATCCCCCTACTATCCCAATTTTCAAAAAAAAAAAAAAAACTTTAGAAATTTTGAAAAAAAATAATATTTTTTTTATGAAAAAAAAAGAAGTTTTTTATTAATTAAAAAAAAAATTATGGGTGTTCAAGAAAAAGATCCACTTTTGCAATTAAGTTTACCACCAGGATTTAGATTTTATCCAACTGATGAAGAGCTTTTAGTTCAATATTTATGTAAGAAAGTTGCTGGACATGATTTTCCTCTACAAATTATTGGTGAAATTGATTTATACAAATTTGATCCTTGGGTTTTACCTAGTAAGTTTCTAGTTTTATACAATCTTTTGTTTTTATTTTTTTCACTTACTCTCTCGAATTTGAGACCTCTGGATTAAGAATAAATGAAATTATATTCATTTCATAGTTTAATTAAAGTTTTGGTCCTATTGTTTTAGTTTTAATGGATGGATTCATGATTAAAGTCAATTTATATCTAAAATATAGAATTGAGTTTTAGTTATTTTGAATTGATTAATTAAAAAAAAATTGTTGTATGATAATAAAATGATGATTTATGTATTGGAATTTTGAATGAGGGAGGAAAACAAAAAAAACAACTTTTGAAACTTATATAAGTTTTAAGTAAGATTTGAAAGTTTGTCATTTAGACATTACAAGAAAATTTAATGTATTGTTTTGGATTAAATTTTAACTTAAATTATTTTTAATTACTGAAATGATGCAGGTGAAATATAAGTTAAATTATTTTTGATCATTAAAATGATGCAGGTTAAATGATATTATACTATTGGTACTTTTGAACTCGAGAGCTTAAATTTAAGTTAAATTACTTTCTTATTACTGAGACGACGCAATTTAAATTAAAATATTTTTTATTATTAAAATGTTGCAGGTCAAATGATATTGTACTATTTGATACTTTTGGATTTGATAGGCCAAATTTAAGTTAAATTATTTTTCGATTACTGAAATGATGCAAGTTAAATTTAAGTTAAATTATTTTCAATCACTGAAATGATGCAGGTCAAATGATATTGTACTATTGATATTTTGAATTCGATAAATGATGGATAATGTGTTACCTTTTGCATAGGTAAGGCGACATTTGGTGAAAAAGAATGGTATTTCTTCAGTCCGAGGGATAGGAAGTATCCGAATGGATCTAGACCGAATCGAGTAGCAGGTTCGGGTTATTGGAAAGCAACGGGGACGGATAAGGTGATAACTTCGCAAGGAAGAAAAGTTGGAATTAAGAAAGCTCTTGTGTTTTATGTGGGTAAAGCTCCAAAAGGATCCAAGACGAATTGGATTATGCATGAATATAGACTTTTTGAATCTTCAAGGAAAAATAATGGAAGTTCAAAGGTAATTTCATTGAAATATTATTCTCTCTATATTTTTGTTTTTGGATGAATATTTGCACTTTTAGTCCCTCAATTTCCATAAATTTATGCATTTAGTCCTTGATTAATTGAAATGTGTATTTAATTACCAAGTCCTTCCGTTGAGAGTATTTTATCCTTAACAAAAAAATTATGTTTGAGCTCCGAGTACAGAGAAATTCTGTCAGGAATGAGCCTTGTAGTGCGCAATTGGGATATTGTGAGTATCGGGGATTCAGAAATAATAAGCCCTATGTTTTTAAGCGTGTCAAAGATGTTCCACCACGAACTTTTTATCGTTCTATTAATGAATCGATTTAATTTTCCAGCTCAGTCAAGCAATGTTACATAAATTAGGAATTACTACTTATATTTTGAAGATGTTCCACTCCGAACTTTTTATTGTTTTATTAATGAATCGATTTAATTTTCCAGCTCGGTCAATCAATGTCACATAAATTAGAAATTACTACTATATTTTGTTATAATAGTTATACTATATGATGAATTTGTATTTGGTGTGCTCCATATGTTGATGGTAATGTGCTTTATCAACAGCCTGTTCTTTTGTATATAGAGAGACCAAAGAGCGTACATTTTAGTGATTGGAGGTCAAAATGTGCTATAGTTAAATAGTATAAGGGCTAAAGTCTAAATTGTCAATAACTGGAGGAGTAAATGTGCAATTATATTCCATTTTCAAATGTGTAATTGTTGCATTTCTTAATGTGTATCTAATTTTTCGTCATTTTTGTACATTTCAGCTAGATGAATGGGTGCTTTGTCGAATTTATAAGAAGAATTCAAGTGGACCAAAACCTCTGATGTCTGGTTTACACAGCAGTAATGAATACAGCCATGGTTCGTCGACTTCGTCATCATCCCAATTCGATGATATGCTCGAATCATTACCAGAAATGGACGATCGATTCTCCAATTTACCGAGGTTGAACTCTCTCAAGGCCGAGAAATTCAACCTCGATCGTCTGGATTCAGCCAATTTCGATTGGGCAATTCTCGCTGGGCTCAAACCAATGCCGGAATTGGGCCCAGCAAATCAAGCTCCAGGCGTTCAGGGTCAGGCTCAGGGGCATGTCAATAACCACATTCACAGCGACAACAACAATATGAATTTTCTCAACGATGTTTACGCCCATCCTCCAAATTTCCGAGGCAACACAAAGGTTGAAAGTATTAATCTAGACGAAGAAGTTGAAAGCGGGAAAAGAAATCAACGGATTGACCAATCGAGTTACTTCCAACAGAGTCTCAATGGATTTTCCCAAGCGTATACAAACAATGTGGATCAATTCGGGATCCAATGTCCGAATCAGACGTTAAATCTCGGGTTCAAGCAGTAGAGGATACTGGAAAGTAAGAAAAGTTGTAGCTCGAAATCTGAATGCCAGTATACTGTGTATATATACAGAAGGCCTGGATTTAGATTTCCTTGGCCCAACGGATTCGAAGAAAGAGCAAGTACAGTATCATGCCAAGGAAATTAAGTCCTTCGAGGGCACGTCTGGGCAGACGTCGTGGACGTTATTTGCAAGTTCTTGCAATTGTGTCTGAAGTCATTAGGCTGAGTGGCACTTCTTATTTGCAAGTTGTGTTTGAAGTCATTAGGCCGAAGGCACGTCTGCGTGGACGATAAAATAATGTACACAAACAGGAGATATATGCAGGGGCGTGTATATTCTTTTAGGAAACTGGGCTTTTAGTTTGTTTTATTTTATGATACATTTCCAGATTTGGATGTATTTTGTAATTTTTACATTTCTGTGTAGCAAGTTAGAAGATATATAGAAAGATACTTTTAAAATACTTTTTATAATTTGTCATTTTAATTAAGTCATAAATTGTGTTTTGTGGGTAGAAATCATCTTTATCAAATTGTTTTTAAGATAAGATAAAAATATTTTTTTAAAATCTATCTCTAGGTCACCCTTTTTTCATCTAACGTCCATCAACTTATATGGATATTTCTTTAGGGCAACCTAAAATATGTGAAGATTATATATATATATATATATATATATATATATATAGTCACACATTTAATTAGGCAAATCCAGCGATGAGCTCGATCAAAAAAGATATTGATGTTATTAGAAATTAATATTTTTATTCGACTCGATTAATTGGGCTACCAAGTAACATATTTATACACTTCCCACAGACTAGAATATATTCAAAAAAAAAAATTAAATGTGTCCTTTTTAGATCAAAATTTGCATATTCTTTTGTTCACATTGTATAATGTATAGGTAAAATTGAAAATTAAATCAATCCTTGTAATATTCGACTAAGCACTAATATTCAATCAAGTAATATGAGTGTTTTTGATCCTTTGACTAACGGAAAATAAGCATTATACTTTGAAAATAAGCATGGTTTAAATGTTGGTGTTGATGTCAATGTGTAAAAGTAAATATGAGTTGAAAATTGGTATTAAAGTTCATGTGTTTGAAAATAAAATACAAGTTAAAATTGAGTTTAAAATAGGTATAAGTTAAAACTGGTTAAAAGTTTGTTGTTCTTTCTTCATTTTCAGTGAACTCACATATCCATTGAGTTTACTTTGATACAAACTTGTTAAGATTCGATTTTTTGAGTCATGATGGTACCTACTGTAACCCACCAGTAGGTAAGCCAACCTCTAACCCGGAACATCAAGTAATGGGTCTGAGGGTAGAAACTAAATAAGAGTATGCAAAATTTAAGATATCAATATAAACAGGCGGAAGCAAACCAATACATATATACAAATAAAGATTCCTCTCAGAATCGGAAGTCATTAGTACAGAGCTATCAACAAAACGACTACAAATCTCAAAAGTGGACCACAGAAACTAGACTGTCTCGAAAAGCAAAAGACAAGTCTTTATATATACAGATGAAGATCGAAATAGTACCAAAACGTCGTGTGCTCACCGCCGTCTCCGAATCAGATTGCTCCAAACTATAGCTAGATCAATTCTGGCTACTAGTGCTCGGAGCTGCATCAAGTTCTTTTTTTCTCATTCAACATAAGATATTCATAATGAAGTCTTACTAATCTGAATTCTTCCAACATGATCCTTTTTCATTCTCGGAGTTTGAGCTTGAACCCAAAATCTTTTCCAAAGGTGAAGCAACCTCAATTATCCACCACAATTCATACCGATCATTATCAAGTAATTATCTGGATCATTTAATTTTAAGGATCACAACCTCCTTTTTATCACTATTTCTACTAGTTAGTGAATAGTGGACTACAAAGAAAAGAACGGTTTACAAGTTAAAAGTCTAGCCCATTTTTTATTTTATTTTAAATTTAATGATAATAGTTGTGTTGAATGCCTTGAATCGGACCCGCTACAAACAGAAAGGACGGGGGTCTCGCTGCCCGGTCAGCGAGTCGGGGGGTCCAGGGGGGCGACGCGCCCCCTGGCCTGGGGGTCCGGGGGGGCGGAGATGAATCGGACCCGACGGTATACAATGTTGTTGTATTGGGTCCTTAATTTTCTGTCAATTCTGTATGTTGGGCCCAAGCCTGTTAGGGCAATTGGTATCAGAGCCTCTCGGTTAATCGGTGTTCTTGGAGAATTCGAGATGTCTGCTTTGAACGTGAAAATCGACAAATTCACAGGGAGGAACAGTTTCAGTTTATGGCAGATCAAGATGCGGGCTTTGTTGAAACAGCAAGGCTTCTGGGCGCCGTTGTCGAAAGACAAGAACACCGTCGTTACTCCTGAGATGGCGATTCTGGAGGAAAAGGCGCACTCGACGATCATGCTGTGTCTCGCGAATGACGTCATCACGGAGGTCTCGGATGAAGAGACTGCTGCTGGTCTGTGGTTGAAGCTGGAGAGTTTGTACATGACAAAATCTCTAACCAACAAGCTGCTTCTGAAACAACGTCTATTCGGTTTACGAATGGCTGAAGGTACACAACTCAGGGAACACTTAGAGCAATTGAATACTTTGTTATTAGAATTGCGTAATATCGATGTGAAGATCGAGGATGAAGATGCTGCCCTGATTCTGTTAGTATCTCTCCCAATGTCGTTTGAGAATTTTGTTCAATCGTTCATTGTTGGGAAAGATACTGTGTCACTGGAAGAAGTCAGATCGGCCCTTCATAGCAGGGAATTACGGCATAAGGCTAACGGCACAAGTACGGACATACAGCCTTCCGGTCTGTTCACCAGTAGCGGAAAGGAAAGGAAAAACGGCGGAAAGAAAAATAAGCCGATGTCGAAGGGTGCAAAGCCGGATGATGTTTGTAATTACTGCAAGGAGAAGGGACATTGGAAATTTGATTGTCTGAAGAAGAAGAAGCAATCGGAAAAACAATCAATGTCTGCTGCTGTTGCTGAAGAAGACACCAATTCTGAAGAAGATATTGCCCTAGTTGCGGATGAGCACACTCATCATTCAGATGTGTGGGTTCTCGATTCTGGGGCATCCTATCACATCTGTCCTAGGAGAGAGTGGTTCACGACTTATGAGCAGGTAGACGGAGGCAGCATCTCGATGGCCAACAGTTCTGTCTGCAAGGTGGTTAGGACAGGCTCGATCAAGATAAGGACACATGACGGTAGCTTTTGCACATTGAACGAGGTCAGGCACGTTCCATTGATGACGAAAAATCTGATATCTCTCAGTCTTTTGGACAGCAAGGGATTCAGCTGGTCGGGAAAAGATGGAGTCCTGCGGGTCTGGAAGGGTTCAAATCTGATTCTGAAAGGTGTCATGCGTGGTACTTTGTATTTTCTACAAGGTTCCACGGTTACAGGTTCAGCCCATGTTGCATCGTCAGAATTTCACCAGAAGGATATGACTAAGTTATGGCACATGAGACTTGGTCATATGGGTGAAAGAGGGATGCAAATTCTGTCAAAGGAGAATTTTCTTGCTGGTCATAAGGTTAAGAGCCTAGAGTTTTGTGAACATTGTGTCTTTGGAAAACTACATCGCAACAAGTTTCCAAAGGCCATTCACAAAACAAAAGGCACACTTGATTATATCCATTCTGATTGTTGGGGTCCATGCCGTGTGAGTCTTTGGGAGGCTGCAAATTTTTTGTGTCCATTATTGATGACTACTCAAGGATGACTTGGGTGTACATGATGAAGCATAAAAGTGAAGCTTTCCAGAAGTTCAAGGAGTGGAAAATTTTGATGGAAAATCAAACAGCGAAGAAGATCAAGAGGCTGCGAACTGATAATAGGCTGGAATTCTGCTGGTCTGAATTTGATCAATTCTGTAAGGGTGAAGGGATTGCTCGACATCGTACAGTCAGAAATACACCACAGCAGAACGGTGTAGCTGAGCGGATGAATCAAACACTTCTGGAGAGAGCAAGGTGCATGCTCTCTAATGCTGGGCTAGATAGAAGATTCTGGGCAGAAGCGGTTAGTACAGCTTGCTACTTGATTAACCACGGACCACATACAGGCATACAGTGCAAGACACCTATGGAGATGTGGTCAGGAAAAGCTGCTGATTATTCAAATCTGAAAGCTTTTGGTTGTACGTCCTACTATCACGTCAGTGAAGGTAAGTTAGAACCAAGAGCTAAAAAGGGAGTATTTGTGGGCTACGGAGATGGAGTGAAAGGTTTCAGAATCTGGTCTCCAGCAGAAAAGAGGGTTATTATGAGCAGGAACGTTGTCTTTGATGAAAGTTCTCTGCTTAGAACCATTGTGAAGCCTACAACTACGTCAGAAACTGGGAGTCTTGACAAACAGGTGGAGTTTCAAGTCATTCAGAACGAGAGCGATTTAAAGGAACCTGAAGAGGAGGATCAAGAGCCACAGACAGAAACTGATATTCCAGAATCTATGCCATCAGATATCCATCAGAGTATAGCTCAAGATCGGCCAAGGAGGGTTGGAGTTCGGCCACCTACGAGGTATGGTTTTGAGGACATGGTGGGTTATGCACTGCAGGTTGCTGAAGAGGTAGATACATCTGAGCCGTCTACTTACAAAGAAGCCATTTTAAGTCCTGATTCTGAAAAATGGTTTGCCGCTATGGGAGATGAGATGGAGTCCCTACACAAGAATCAGACATGGGATCTGGTCATACAGCCTTCGGGGAGAAAGATTATTACTTGCAAATGGGTTTTCAAGAAGAAGGAAGGGATATCACCAGCAGAAGGAGTCAAGTATAAAGCCAGGGTTGTTGCCAGAGGTTTCAACCAAAGAGAGGGAGTGGACTACAATGAGATCTTCTCACGAGTGGTCAGACATACTTCCATCCGAGTGTTACTAGCGATAGTTGCACATCAGAATCTGGAGCTTGAACAACTTGATGTGAAGACAGCGTTTCTACATGGAGAGTTGGAGGAAGAGATATACATGACTCAGCCGGATGGTTTCCAAGTTCCAGGGAAGGAAAATCACGTCTGCAAGTTGAAGAAGTCCTTATATGGACTTAAGCAGTCTCCAAGACAGTGGTATAAAAGGTTTGACAGCTATATGGTGAAGTTGGGCTATACTCGGAGCTCATATGATTGTTGTGTCTACTACAATAGGCTCAATGATGATTCATTCATCTATCTGGTGCTTTATGTAGATGATATGTTGATAGCTGCAAAGAAGAAGTATGACATTCAGAAGCTGAAGGGTTTACTTAGTGCTGAGTTTGAGATGAAGGATCTGGGAGCCGCTCGGAAGATTTTAGGGATGGAGATCATTAGAGACAGAGAGAGAAGGAAACTTTTCTTGTCACAGAGAAGCTACATTCAGAAGGTCTTGGCGAGGTTTGACATGTCTTCATCTAAGCCCATTGATACCCCCAGTGCTGCCAATATCCATCTCACTGCCATGTTCGCTCCACAGTCAG